TGGCCTAGGGTAATTTTTAAGAGGGGTTTTTTAGAGGGGTTTTTAATTGCTTTTTAATTAGACAATTTAAATATTTCATTTTAATTAATTTTAACTTGTGATTGTTAGTGGTGTTTTTAATTGATTGTCAGCCGCCCTGAGTCCGCAAGGAGAAGGGCGGGATATAAATTCAAATAATAAATAAATAAATAAATAAATAAACATTGAAGTCATTGTAAAACCAGACAAGATAGCAGATTGTCAAGATAGCAGATGTTATTTTGGAGTGAAGCGTTAGCAAAGGAGGCCGGTATTCCCCCCACCCACCCACAACCAAAGAAAATAACAAGAGAAATACAAAATCCAGACTTTGAGAAGTTTATTAGTGGTTCTATGTATCGAGACAGATTTTTTAAAAAGTGCATAGAACAAGCCCTTTATTTCACAGCAGATCTCGTAGTAAAGGATTATTACATGGCACAGATCTTTTGTGTTAAAATTCAGACAATTTAAACCCGCTAAAACCCATCACAGTNAAGAAAATAACAAGAGAAATACAAAATCCAGACTTTGAGAAGTTTATTAGTGGTTCTATGTATCGAGACAGATTTTTTAAAAAGTGCATAGAACAAGCCCTTTATTTCACAGCAGATCTCGTAGTAAAGGATTATTACATGGCACAGATCTTTTGTGTTAAAATTCAGACAATTTAAACCCGCTAAAACCCATCACAGTGTTATCAATCTTTTTGCCCAGGAGAATTATTCTAAACTAAGGCATAAAGAGCTGATGCAAGTTTATGTGTGAATGTGAAATGTCAATTCTGACCCCTAAACTTTATAGAAATTCACTAAATAGAAAAACTAGGTTTAGGATCTCCCAGGAGGTGTTTTTTTTTAAAAAGTTTAATTGGTGTCAGTGGCTGGGGTTATATAAAAGCTGCAATGCCAGAAAAAGAATTTCTAAACCTTTTCTGCCCAGTATTTTCACAATTAACCCCCCCCTTTTTTTTTTTCGCTTAAGAGCTTTGCTGGCAAGAATGGTTCCTAAATTCTGCTAATCCTACCATCATCCCATAAACCAGCTTTTTAAAGTCTTGAAAATAGTCATCGTACTCTTCCACGTTGCACATTTAAAGTAGAAAAAATAAGAGATATCAATAAACTGATGTATGTGCTGTAAATTTATCTTGTCCTGTAGTTAAACCTTTAATGCAAAACTGATTATTTTGTTGCTCTGTTTCATGGTCTTCTTGTTTCATAAAATGGCACCAGGGATTCCTACTAAGAGATTTTGGTTTGAATTACTCCCTGCTTTAAAAGGAGACTGCACTGGGGGGGGGGCATCTGATTGGCCTATAGTTGCTAAGGAACAAGCTGTATAATATTAAAGCACATTTTGCTTCTTCAGTTTCTCTCTATCCAAAATTTTATTATCAGCAGTCCTGCAAATTATTCTCGAGAAAAAAAAATAAAACTAGGCGATTGCCATTCAGCTCCAAGACTCACAACTGCTTCACATTAATTTAAAGCTGTTCTGCTCCTTAAAAAGGGGCATTTCATAAGGTTGGTAAAGATGAACAAACTTACTTTAAAGTTTTTTTTTCATTTTTCATTTAAAAAAAATATAGAAAGGTTCTCAAACGCTATTTTATGAGGAATCGTAAAATCCCCCAAATACAGTACAATTCTTAGAACAATTCCCAGAATTTTTTAAATGTTACACCACGGCAAAAGAATGGATCTCCGAAACCCCAAAAGGGCATTTTATGAACAAATGTCGGGACAGACCAATTTGTTGCCACAGTTGATGTTAACGCAAAGGGTAGATTCCTGGCTTGAAATAAATTGACCAAGATATCAATGGAAGGATCTGTTATCAAGCTTGCTGAGATGCGTAAAAAAGGAAGAAATGTTTGACGCCTATGTCCTTAATCCTTGTATTAACTAGGTAGCAGATTAATGAACTAGGTTTAGTTACAGGATTGGTTCAGATGTATTTTCCATCCTTCAAATCCAGTAAGAATTGGATTCAAGTAACTCCCATAGCAATTTCTACCTGCCTGTAATTTACATCTCAATAGGGGGGACATAATAGCAGCCTTCCAGTATCTCAGGGGCTGCCCCAAAGAAGAGGGAGTCAAGCTATTCTCCAAAGCGCCTGAAGGCAACAGATGGAAACTGATCAGGGAGAGAAGCAACCTAAAATTAAGGAGAAACTTCTTAACAGTTAGAACAATTAACCAGTGGAACCACCTGCCTCCAGAAGCGGTGAATGCTCTAACACTGGAAGTTTTTAAGAAGAGACTGGACAGCCATTTGTCCGAAATGGTATAGGGTTTCCTGCCTGAGCAGTGGGTTGGACTCGATGACCTCCAAGACCCCTTCCAATTTTATTATTGTTGTTATTATTAACAACTCACTACCTTCAGCAAGTTTCCCTACAATATTTTTGCCAGGGGGATGGAATGAAATGGAAAAGTGATGTTCAACCACCTCATTGTATTTGTTAAGACTGGTCTCATAGCTCTCCTCTAAGAATTAAAGGTAACACACAGACGTCTCTTTGTTACACACACCTTGGCGGGATAGATTGAGTCCAAAGTCACCAGTGAATTTCTGGGGCTAGGGATGAATGAGAAGCCATGACGTCCAACTCTAAGTCCACCCTCCTAAATTATTTGGATCCAGCAAAAGAGATTGAAATGTTAAGGCTTCTCTAATGACTATATGGAGGACTTTTTAAAAAATAAAATAAAAATAAAGGCCCAATAAATAAAAAGCCCTTGTTAAAATGAATTTGGCAGGTTGGAGAAAGCTCTCGTGCATTTTTGAAAACGGTCAAGAAAAACAAGGCAGAATTCCTCGTGGCATTTAAAGATGCAATGTTATGCATGCTTTACTCAGCGGTTACTATCAGCAGACTAAAGCTCGGTGTTTGGCGGCAGGAACGTTCTGAAACTGCTTAAAATGCAGAACGTTCGCCCAACTTTAGACACTGGAAGTGTATTCACACAAAAGGTCAAACCTCCCTTGCATAGTCCTTGATAGTAATTCAAGGATTTAAAAAAAAAAATACAGCAGGAAGGCTAAATTTCATTTTTAATGTGTGCCGTTGTGCCCAAAGGGGAAAAAAAATGACAATAAAGGTGATCTATCTATCTAACTTAATGCGCAAGAACGTAAAATGTTCGCAAGGCTTCAGCTTCCATCGCTGTTGGACAACGAAAGGCCACTTCGAAGAAGCCAAATGTCAGCGTCGGCCGTCAAACCATTATCCGCCTCACGTGTTCTGAAGGAACAGAATTATAGTTTGAACCAAGTTAAGGCTACAAATAGGGGCACTGTCTTTTGAACTCTCTGGGAAGAGGGGATTTTGGTTAACTGGCTGGCATTCCTGTTAGCGTGAATAACCAAACTTGAAACATTTTAAAAATGGCTCAGCACCCAAAAACATGGATCTGTAGGTGATTCTGTAGACCCAGACTGTTATTGATACCCTTCGGTTGCTTCATGGTGCAGTAGATAACTTTAATTGTTGGAACCTCTATTTCAGGGGTCTTCCAACTTGGCCCTTTGATGACTTGTGGACTTCAACTCCCAGAATTCCTCAGCCAGGCACGCGTGCCTGGCTGAGGAATTCTGGGAGTTGAAGTCCGCAAGTCATCAAAGGGCCAAGTTGGAAGACCCCTGTTCTATTTGTAGAAGATATTTGCAAAAAAAAAACCCCAACCCTATATATTCCCTTCCCAAAATCACAAATATGCTCACAAACTGGTTAAATGTTTGCTCCCTTTATTTTGGAGAGACCCTATGTAACTGAGATGATCGGTTACGCAGAGAACATTTAATTTTAAAAATGGCAATCGCTCAAGCCAACCTTAATCGTTTTTGTTTTTTTTTACAGGTGAACCGTTGGCAATTGGCAAAAGAACTGTTTTCAGCATGAAATTTCTCTGCAAACCTAGATTTACACTAATCCACAGATTTGGAAAATGCTGGACCAAAATGTCACCTGCACAAGTAAGTCTTAGCCTAGCCTAGGCGCATAGAATAATTCAATGTTTGATTTTAAAAACTGATCTTAAAGGTATTTAACTCCGTAATTTACCGTACTGCAAGAGTGGGATGCCTTTTTACAACTGGAAGACATGAAGTTATCTTTGTGGATTTCAACTGCCTGTAGGCTTCAGCTCCCAGAATTGCCCAGCCAGGAATTCTGAGAGCTGAAGTTTCTAAGTCTTAAAAGTTGCCAAGTCTGGACTTCTCTGGTTGGGATCGTTTTCAGGAAAGGGATAACATCAATATGTTCAGCTTCGTAGAAGCTTAACGTGCCAATTTTGCTTCTGCTTTCTAACAGGCAGACTACTCAAAATTTTGCAGTTTTGGCACCCCGTTTGTGGAGTGCAAACTCACGGACTGTGCTGTGTTTGGTTGTGTCGATGTTCCATCAGCATTTGAATAACATGGAAAACATGTTAATCTAATGCAACCCAGAAGTTCCTTTTGACCACAGGAACTTTTAAACAGTTGCAGTGAAGGAGACGGTCCTACTGATGCGTTGATTGGCATGCATTATGCTGTGGTTCTTTCTTTTGACTTGAGAGGTTTGTTCCAAATAGAAACCACAAACCCAAGTCCACAGGAAAATCATTGTATAAGGGTGGTGCTAGTTTTCAATGTAAATTTTAATTATTCAGGCTTTATTTGTTACCTTCCTTCCTTCCTTCCTTCCTTCCCTCCCTCCCTCCCTCCCTCCCTCCCTCTTTCGCTCTTCTGCCTCTCCCTCCCTCTCTCAATAAAATGGCTCATTGGTAAAACTATAACTAGTTTACACCAGCTTTCATACTCTGATGTCATCTACATTGCTGACCCTGCCAGCTAGGAATATAACACAATATTCAGCATATGCGAAAGGCACTAATTGGAGAACGCTGTGGAATAATGTGAACTTTTTGAAAATGGACACGCTGGAAAACGTTTGCGGGAATTTCCCCAGAAAATGGGTGTACAAAGACCGCAGAGGAATGTACTGTAATTTTTAATCTCTAAACAGATAGGAAAAAGAAAACCCACTAGTCTGAACAGGTTCAACCGATTATCAAGAGAGAGATTTAACTTTTTTTTTTCTTTAAATATTGCAGTGGGCAGAAGCGCAACGCTCATCGCTGTCACTTCCCACCACATTAAGTTACTGTAATCCATTTAAATGTCATTTAAGAAATAGAAAAAAAAGAAAATGGATATTCTATGTACAGAACAGAACCCTACTGTCCAAGGATAAGGAATGCTGTGATCACGTTCGTTCTTTTGGTCACTGAAGATTAAACTTGTTAAGCTGTTCCAGGAAACCTCAGTCGACGGCTGGAGCCGGTGGATCTTGTCCCTGTGTGTGAAGAACGGAATTAGAAGTCTCTGGATTTTGTAAAAGAGGAGGTGTTGTCCACTTAAAAGATCCTCATACATATTTACAAATTTTTTAATTAGATTAGAACTCAGGGTCTTAAATATGTGGTTTAAGAATAGGTCCATTCATACAGATGGGTAGCAAAGGAAGGAATAGACATCTAAAAGCAGAGAAGCACTGAAAGAAAGTTGAAAGGGGGCAATGAGAAATTCTGAAATGTAAAACAAGCAATTTTGGGGTACTGCAAAGAGATGAGCTTTGTAATAAACGTACAAGGAAGAGAAGAGAAAATAGAGAAAAGAAAACAATTACTGTATGAAGAAAATAGACAGATTTCTCTCTCAGTGAATGACTAGAACAGGGCTGTTCAATCGTGGCAACTTTAAGATCTATGGACATCAACCCACAGAATTCTCCAGCCAATCAGGCTGGCTGGGGAATTCTGGGAGTTGAAATTACGAGAATTAAAATTTGCCAAGGTTGAACTAGAGCAGGGGTAGGCAACCTTGGCTCTTTTATGACTCGGTGGATTTCAACTCCCAGAATTCCTGAGCCAGCATGAGGGAAACTTTGGCCCCTTCATGACTGGTGGACTTCAACTCCCAGAATTCCTGAGCCAACATGGGGGAACTATGGCCCCTTCATGACTCGTGGACTTCAACTCCCAGAATTCCTGAGCCAGCATGAGGGAAACTTTGGCCCCTTCATGACTTCTGGACTTTAACTCCCAGAATTCCTGAGCCAGCATGAGGGAAACTTTGGCCCCTTGATGACTCGTGGACTTCAACTCCCAGAATTCCTGAGCCAGCATGAGGGAAACTTTGACCCCTTGATGACTTCTGGACTTCAACTCCCAGAATTCCTGAGCCAGCATGAGGGAAACCTTGACCCCTTCATGACTGGTGGACTTCAACTCCCAGAATTCCTGAGCCAGCATGAGGGAAACTTTGGCCCCTTCATGACTCGTGGACTTCAACTCCCAGAATTCCTGAGCCAGCATGAGGGAAACTTTGGCCCCTTCATGACTCGTGGACTTCAACTCCCAGAATTCCTGAGCCAGCATGAGGGAAACTTTGGCCCCTTCATGNCTCCCTGAATTCCTGAGCCAGCATGAGGGAAACTTTGGCCCCTTCATGACTCGTGGACTTCAACTCCCAGAATTCCTGAGCCAGCATGAGGGAAACCTTGACCCCTTCATGACTGGTGGACTTCAACTCCCAGAATTCCTGAGCCAGCATGAGGGAAACTTTGGCCCCTTCATGACTCGTGGACTTCAACTCCCAAAATTCCTGAGCCAGCATGAGGGAAACTTTGGCCCTTTCATGACTCGTGGACTTCAACTTCCAGAATTCCTGAGCCAGCATGGCTCAGCTTGGAAACCTCTCCCTTTCCCCTCAGCGTGGCTGGCTCAGGAATTCTGGGAGTTGAAGTCCACAAGTCACAAAAGAGCCAAGGTTGCCTACCCCTGCTCTACACTAATAAAGTCTACATTAATTAACATTAATTATACTTTCATATGTTCCTCTAGGTCAGGGGTAGGCAACCTTGGCTCTTTTATGACTCTGGACTTCCAACTCCCAGAATTCCTGAGCCGGCATGGCTCAGCATGGAAACATCTCCCTTTCCCCTCAGCGTGGCTGGCTCAGGAATTCTGGGAGTTGAAGTCCACCAGTCACAAAAGAGCCGAGGTTGCCTACCCCTGAACTTGAAAGTCAACAAAACAAAACAGGACGTAGAGGCTACCTGGAACAAAAGGAAAAGAATCTTATTAGTGCCAAAGAAGTAGGTGGGCTTACACTAATGGGAAGTATGAAAGAAGATGCACTTAGAATGATTGCTGCCGAAAGGAGACGAGACAGATTGTATGGTGTGTGGAGACAGAGAAAAAGCAGCAGAAGAGCACAATCAAAGAGAACAAGGAAACGTTAAAAGCTAAAAGAGGAAGGGAAAATGAAGAGCTGTTTAGATTTTGGGGGGGGGGGAATCTGAGAAACCAAAGTGGCTAGCAAGGAGCTTTCAACACAATGAAAGCAATGCCATTTAGAATCCTAGCCTTATCTGTTAACCAGGTTATCGCCAATAAAGGCTCAGAGGATTATTCAAACAGCCCTCTCTGTTTTCTTGCAAGCCCTGGGTGAGAATCCTCATTGTTCTCCACAAGCCCTGGTGACAAAAAGTCTCTAATGCGGTCTTAACTGGAATGATTTTACCAAACAGCAAGGCAATATTACGACATCCTAGAAAAAGAAGTCTTACTGAAACAGTGCAGCACGAAGCTAACACGGGACGAGCGGATTATAGTTTTCTCCTAGTATTATACCAGACATGTCAAACACAAGGCCCCGGGGGCCGGATGCGGCCCGCGAAGTGGTTTCATGTGGCCCGCGAAGCCATCCTGGAAACAGTGAGGGAACGGCCCCCGCTGCCTTGGCCCTGGTCCAGGCCGGTCGGGAGCCAATGTACAATTTTGTGGTGGCCATCTATGTTGAAACGCATTCAGTCTTAGCGCCACAAGGCCGTCTGGAAACAGCGAGGAACCAGCCCCTGCCGCGTCGGCCTCGCCCCCTGGGTGCATGCTGGGGAGGTGTCACCCTTTGTGAGGAATGAAGAAATGGACCATGCCTTGGCGCTTGCCCTGGTCCCAACCCCTTCTGCCAGAGACCCCCAGATCTGTCCCACTCCTGCCCAGGCCCCCACGGGCACCCTTGACGCAAACGATGTAGAGCTGGCCATGCCCACCCAGTACGCCACACCCACTCCATCCACACCCACGCAGTAGGTTGCACCCACCCTGGCCATACCCACCCGGCCCCCCGAGGGCAACCGCAATGCTGATGCGTCCCTCAATGAAATTGAGTTTGACACCCCGGTATTATACATTTCCTTCCCAGCCGAAGGAAAGAAATGCCTCAGGAAACAGACTCACGCTATGCGGGCGAGACGGCTTTTCAGTAGTAATCGATCTCCTTAAGCTGGTGGGTCTCATCAAGAACAAAACCAGTGCTAGGACCAGCCAGCCCACCATCATCATGGTGACGCCGAAGTCATTGTCAGCAGAGGGATTCGGTCCCGGCACTAGAAAAAAACACGACCACACGAAAGAAAGAGAGGGCAGAATTAACTTCGGACAGGTCAACACATTTATCAGCAAGGAAACTTAAGTCGGGGCAGGGCAGAGTTGTGAATCAGGCAGGGTTGTGCTTGTCTAGACTACCTGGTGGTGCTAAGAGGCATTGAACATCAGCAACTGGATAACTTAACTCCTTGTCCTAAGAGAAGTCATGCCAACGCTGCCTAATCAGGATTCCGTGTCTGCCAGGGATGACGGTGGAATAGTCCCAGTTGTTATCAGCCACAAATCAGCGGAAGATCACATGCTGGTTTACATATTCTATTGAAGGTGGTTAGTGCGATTCTGTTGTTACAGACAGGCTGCTCCCTCCATTGATGTCACTCTGGGAGCTGGAACAAGCTCCTGCTTTGGTTTCCACCTTAATTTGTGCCTACGTTTCTGAATATCCACGGTCCAGGTATCTCCCAAACTGCATTTTTTGGTTAATTTTGTTCTCCAGGGAGATTAGAGAGACAGGGTTTGCTCTGAGAATGCCACCAGCAGGGACCCCTTTGTCAAGGCCGCCCAGCCATGCTTTTCCCTACTGTGGACCAACCCAAACGTTCAAATCCCACCATCCTGGTTATGCTTCCAAAGAACAGCGAACCCATGGCTTGTTAAGGGATCGTTGGGGGACGAGTCATATTCTAATCTTGAAGGACAGCATCTCAGATTGTCTGCAGTTATGATCCCTGAAGTTCAGCTCTTAATCCTATGTTGATTTGCTATAACCCTCATTAAAGTGACTGGTATGGGAGAGAAGCCAACAAAAAAATAGTAGTAAGAGGCACTAACTGAGGTGTAGAATATGGACTCACCCAAAGCAGCTAACGCTATCGCTCTCAGGGGCTTCTTCCCTGTCTCAGAGTTAAGAACGTAGACTAGGCCTATTTTTGTTGCTCTTCTCTGCACTCTTTCTAGAGTCTCAAATCTTTTTTTTTTTTTACATCATGGTGACAAGGGTGGTTAAGATTTCCCCATAAGTAAAAAAAAAAAAATCTGAGACAGATTAATTCTTAATGCCAAAAAACAATGACGTTGCAAAAGTCAGCGTTCGGTTTCCCCGACAGCCAGCCACGCAGAATAACACACACACACACACAAATGTGGAGTGTAACCTTAGCAATGCATTTAATGTCAGCCCAGACATTACGTCCAACATTCCAGCTGGCCTTAATAACAGTCTGACTCTACGCGCCTCCTGGCTGAGGAATTCTGAGAGTTGAAGTCCACCCATCTAAAGCTTGCCAAGGTTGAGACACAGGGCTCTAAAGGACTGGAAGGGATCTGACATAACCATTTGGAGACTTCCATCCCTCACGAATTCGTGACTTCTCCTAATCCTTCTTTCTCTTGACTTCTCAGCTACTATTTATTCTCCTGTCAAAAGAACCAAAAGAAGCTCATCACGTGTCTTTGTCTTTAATCTCACCTAATCCTGAAAGCCAGCTCTGCGTAATTTTCTTTGTTCAAATATATATATATATATAAAAAAATCCATAGGTCCTTTGCAATTCAAAAAGTCTTCCCAGTGTATTCTTTAACTCCCCACTGTGGATATTCCTGAGGGACATTGGCAGAGTATAACCTTAAACCAGGATATCCCCAACCTGATGAGTGGCTGGTTGGGAGGAACGCAGTAACCGAATCTTAGTCACAATCCAAACTCAGACTGAGATCATGAATCACTCTTTGGGCGTCTTTTCCACTTCACCTTGGTTGACTTTCAACCGAGCATCTATACATCTCAAAGAACCTACAATCCCATCTAGCAAACTTGGCAGGCTCTGGCTTCCATACCTGCCTTCCGCTAGCTCCATCTTCCCCAACCATGGCTGTCAATTATAGTTGCAATCCCAACGAAGTGCTGGAAGTGATGAGCTTGGCTTGGGGAAAGCTGAGCTAGGTTGTCAATAGGACATCTTATATGAATGTATAAACAACACGGCCTTTTCTGAATTCCAGCATCACGCCCAACCGTTCATCATGGCATTCCAAATTGGCAGCCACAGATTGTATATGTCTAGTTTAATGAAGAGAAGAACGAGGGGGGACATGAGAGCAGTCTTCCAATATCTCAGGGGCTGCCCCAAAGAAGAGGGAGTCAAGCTATTCTCCAAAGCGCCCGAAGGCCAGACAAGAAGCAACTGATGGAAACTAACCAAGGAGAGAAGCAACCTAGAACTAAGGAGAAACTTCCTGACAGTTAGAACAATTAACCAGTGGAACAACCTGCCTCCAGAAGCGGTGAATGCTCCAACACTGGAAGTTTTAAAGAAGAGACTGGGCAGCCATTTGTCCGAAATGGTATAGGGTTACCTGCCTGAGCAGGGGGTTGGACTAGATGACCTCCAAGGTCTCTTCCAACTTTATTATTATTATTATTATTATTATTATTATTATTATTATTATTATTATTATTATTATTATTATTATTATTGGCCGGTGGATGCATGTCCAAATAAAAGAAAGGTTACAATTATTATTTTTTAATTATTTATCTTACCGTAAGGATCCTAAACGGCTTAAAAGCAAGGCAACTTATTTTTAAATCTTCGTAATAACTTTCCCCCTCGCCGATCAACCAAATTT